AAGGCATTTGTGTAGTAGTTTATATTCTAGTGTAGCACTAAATATACTTAATATGTTTTCCACCTTCTACTGCTTTATATAACAGAACAGCATCTCACAAGGACACAGGGTAGATTTAGTAAGTCAATAAAGTTTTTTTATCCTCAGGAAAACAAGTGAAGCAAACAGAAGGGAGTGAGGAACAAGCAGAAACAGCTTCTCTGAAGCAAACGTGTTTGTGAGAAGCAGGACTAGCAATATCACTGGTGCGCAAGAGAGACTTACCAATTGTTTATGGTAATTATACCAGTCTATCACCACTAATTTGAGCATGACCACTGATGGTTGAAAATGCTGCACATGGCACCTTTAACTCTGAAAAGCCTGAGAGGGAGAGCTGCCTCAGTAACTCAGGCAATGAGCCAATATAACCATTAAACACCAGGACAGAAATAGGCCACAGTAGCCGCCAACACTTAGCATTCTGTTGTTGTTATCTTTGCTGTTTCTCAATCCTTCCTGACAGCCTTACCATCCTTTGGGGAAGGAAACAGCAGTCACTGGTGATTATGGAGAGCCCACCACCCCCACCTCCACCCCTCACCCAGGGAGCCAAATTATGCCTGCATTAATATTTCATATTACACAAGAGAAACCACATGTGTACTCAGCCCTTTGTCTTTATGTCAAATGAAATGTGCTCGGCAATCATCAGAGGGCGAACCGACGTGGAGGGAGGAGGGGTGAGAGCAGGAGAGGAAGAGGAGGAGAAAAGGAGGAGATGAGGGAGAAGGAGGAGGACAAGAAGTGAGGCAAGTCAGGCAAGAAGCGGAGAGCCGAGGGAAAAGATGAGGCGAGACCAGGTGAGATGAGCAAAGGGATGGGGAAGGGAGGATATGTGGATGCCAACAAAGATGAGGCAGGAAGAGGAGCAAGAAGACATGAAAGTGGTGGAGAGTCTGGAGATAAGGGATTAGGAGAATAGATGAAAGTACAGGAGAGGAAGGAAAAAGTAAAGGGAAAGAGGAGAAGGGAGGAGAAGAAAGGGGGTAAGGGAAATACCTTTGTGCTTTAAATAATGCAGAGAGGTGAAGAAGTAAGCCAGGCTTTGCCAATGGACAAAGAGCCTAATTTGACATTTTGTCTCCATAGTAGAAGGAATGCCTTTGAAATACAATGTCAAGCATGCACAGAAACGAGTATTAAAAATATTAATTTGGAAGTTTACAACAGTAACTCCCCCCTCATTTGCTTCATAATAGTTTTATCCAGCAAATACCTTTCAAATGTTCAAATTTCCCAATTAGATTCTTGCAAATCTCACACAATACCACGTGATGAGGGTTGATATGGAGCCAAGAAGCTAGTTTTACAATGGAAGTGTGGTTGCACGCGGGCCATTTTTCAGTACAAACCAAAAATTTCATTTTAAAATCTAATTTTGAGTAAAAACAATATTTTCATCCTAACGGTTTGATTCAGTTATTGCCATAATTACTGAAACCCTTTACACACCATTGCTGTGACAAATGCAGCAATGATGTAGCTCATTGGCTATTGTGTCTTGCAGAATTAATGAATTATGGCTTAATGAATCATCTAACTCAAGTTTAATGCGAGAGGCCTCAGAGATGTGAACTCTTCTTTGGTTGGTGACAAACCACAGTTTGTTTTATAGTCAGTATGGTTTGTGTAAGTATGGTTTGTGTGTTGCAACTGTGTGTGACACCTGTTTCCACCTCCCCTTTTTTGAATGTGGATAGATGTGATTAAAGAATCATATCACAAGTTTGGAAGAGTAATTGGACTGGTGATTGATTCAAGGCTTTCTTCTAAAATGTCTTGCACTTCATAGTTTTCAGTGTCATATGTACTAAATTTAACTTGTTTGACCTCCAACATTTACTGAAAAAGTACAAAGAAAGAAATAAAATATGAAATGCTTCAAATACCTAATATCAAACCTCAGGCGTAAATGTAAATGTAATTTGTGCTTAAGGTGGTACACACCCTAACCTTGGCTATTGTGTTGCCCATCTTAAAATAATCAACTATGAATGAAACAGAGTAAACAGTGAAGGTGCTCAAATCAGTTTGAATTTGCAATCAAACTGCAGAGCTGAATCCCTTATCCATGATTAATGTGAGTTCACATCACCTGTCATTCATTTCACCATTATGCCTTCTGTTTGTTCTCTCCAGTTTTGAAAATGGGAAACAGCATGTAACGAGTAGACACACACACACTCAGGCATAATATTATAAACACCAGCTAATATTGTGTTGGTCCCCTTTTTGCTGCCATAACAGCCCTGACCCATCCAGGCATGGACTCCACTAGATTCCTGAAGCTGTGCTGTGTATCTGCACCAAGATGTTAGCAACAGATCCTTTAAATCCTGTAAGTTGTGAGGCGGGGCCTCCGTGAATCAGACTTGTTTGTCTGGAAATCCCACGGATGCTTGATTGAACTGAGATTTGTGTGAATCTGGAGGCCAAGTCAACACCTCTAACTCACTGTTGCACTCCTCAAACCCTTCCTGAAACATTTTTGCTTTGTGGCAGGGCTGGAAGAGACCACAGACATCAGGGAATACCATTTCCATGAAAGGATCTATATGATACTCAAATGCTTTGGTAGGTGGTACATGTCGATGCAACATCCACATGAATGGCAGGACTCAAAGTTTTGCATTCGGTTTGCATTCTTCCTATAGTGCATCAGGATGCACACACCTGGCCATCCATGCAATCCAAAAGAAAACATGATTCTGACCAGGCCACCATCTTCCTTTTCCCTGTGGTTTAGTTCTGATGCTCACTTGCCCGTTGTTGGCGCTTTCTGCAGTGGACAGAGGTTCAGCATGGGCACCCTAGCTGGTCTGCAGCTATTCAGCCCCATACACAACAAAGTGTGATGCACTGTGTGTTTTGAGACTTTTTTTTATCAGAACCAGCATTCATTTATTCCACAACTTAAGCTTCAATATCTCATCTGTTGGATCGGACCACTCAGAGCAGTCTTCACTCACCATGTGCATCAGTGATCCTCGGCCATCCATGACCTTGTCTCTGGTTCACCACTGTTCCTTCCTTGCACTGCTTTTAATAAATCCTGATCACTGCAGACCTGGTGCACCCCACAAGAGCTGCATTTTGGAGATGTTTTGACCCAGCCGCCTAGTTGTGTGTATATGTGTGTGTATTGCCTCATCTTAAATGTTAAAGGACTTGTATATGCATTGATTTTATAGACCAGAACTATAATACATGTATATAAAAGTCAAGATGCCCCATCCACTTGCTGTTCAAACCTTTTGTTTTTGAGGGGCAGCCAATGTGAAAGACAAAAATATGGATGGACATTAAAGCAGCTCATGTTCAACTGTGGATGAAATGAGCAGTTTCAATAAGGCCCAGTATACAAAGGAGGGTTCTTTTTGGCAGTAAGGCTTAGATAACCTGCCCAAAAGTAATGGACACACAACACAAGAGTTTACCTCCCTAAACATATAAAAAAACAGGAGAAAGTGGTTACAGAAGGAAGCGGCAACTCATCTCTACTTACTCATTCTAAATACAGATCAAAATTCAGCTAATACAAGCACTTATGTGGCTGTTTGGTTGAAAGGGAAGCAAATGATCCTCAGTAGGTATATAAGGAGCCATCTTGGCTCCTTATATAGGCTGTAGTCCTTGAGCTGAAGCCAGTCATGTGTACGCTGTAGTCTTTCCATCCAGGCGGCCACCTGCACAGTGCAATTAGCATGCTTTCTCCCCACAATACAGACGTCTTCATGGCAGGAAACACATAATGAAACAAACACGACTGTAGTCGTAACGCCACAAGTGGGGTTTCTCTTGTTGTTAAAAAAGATGTGTACACACACACAAGCTGTCCATCCAGCGCCTTTTAAAAGACAGGGTTTATTCTAGAGGTTCAAAATTTGGAGGAAAAACAGCTTCTTTTCTCAAAAATCTACTTTTTAAGATTTTCACGGTTGCTCATTACATGCACACTCTTAACACAGGGCTATTAGCTGGTTGGTTGGCTGATTAAGGCTACCTTGCTTGTAGCTGAGTGTGTTCCCATCAAGCTGAGATTGCTACAGCCTCTTGTTAACCCTCGTTGTATGAAACTACCCAGTGGCCCACCTTCAAGCACACTTACCAGCCTCCTCTTCCCAAACCACTCTTGCTACCAACAATTATGTCAGCATGTGTGTGCGTGCACAACAGTGTATTTGTGTGTCTGTGACTGTGTGTGTCTTAGTCCCTCTCACTAGCTAGGAAGTTAGCAGCAGCCACTCTGAGAGCGCTTCAATATCCTCTCACTGTAACCTGATTATTAATTACAGTCTGCCTCTAGCTGACCGCGGCCCAAACACTGTCTGGCACAGTTACCAAGGAGACAAAGTCATTCACAAACAAGATTCAGCAAAAACACATTTGAGTGCATTCACGGCAATGCGGTTTCACAGTCCTCCTGTCTATTCGCGTCTTTCTGAATGGTGGCGGTTAAAGTATTTTAATTAAGAGCCATGCCGATCAAAAGTTATGCAATCAGGCCATATATAAGTGAAAAGTGTTAACGACCAGTTGACACCTCTTATTTTAGTTTGGCATAATCTCAGAAGTGCCATAACTCCTGAAACACTCAAGATGAAACCCATCATCTGCTCGCAAAACTGCAAGTTGATCAAAGCGACTGCATGCCAGAAAGTCAGTCATGCCTGAGCTGTACAGCACTCAGCAGTAATCAACCTGGAGCTATGCCTGCAGCGAGGCCGGGGGACATCAGTCTTTAAATGGGCTGCTGGCAATCAGCTGAGTGTGTGTGTGTGTGTGTGTGTGTGTGTGTGTGTGTGTGTGTGTGTGTGTGTGTGTGTGTGCAGTGCTGTTGACACTCATATTCACGTGCATATGCACATCAATAACATGCTTATAGTCTGTCACACCGTAGTAGACAAAATGTGCAATGAAAATTAAATCAAACATATAACACCAAGAAGTTAGCATACCTGTGTGCAAACAGAGTTTGATCTCCAGCCTGCAACTTCATACCGCAAATATGATGCGTGTAAAATTAGGGAGCGGCGAGTAAACGTCCCTTTGGACCCTGCTAGTGGACGTTGTGGTGGTGGAGGGGCTGGAATAGCAGACAGCAATGCTGGGTAGCAGAAGTACTGGCATGTCAGAGGAAGAGATTTTGCAGCTTAAAGAAAATGCCAAATTGGGAGAGTGAGACATGTTAGTGTGCATGATGTAATGCATCTCAAATTGTCTGCCTGAACTAGCTCGCAGGCTACTCCGTCCTTTCTAAGTCACAGAACAGAGCATTTGCTACTGTCTGAAATAAGAATAAAGAATCTACAGTAAAGTCTGCCAAATACAATACACAGGCTCCACAGTAACATTTCAATGCAGCAAAAGCAGCCTATTCATAGTGAGATCCAAATATGCTTTTTCTCCCAATACTTAATATGTGCAAATTTAATGATAGAATCGATCTTTGTCAGAATGGAAGAGAAATTGTGCAAATTCTTCAAAAACCTTTTATATCTGCTCTCTTTAAATTACACTGAAGGTGTTGTATGGGATTCAAATCAGCGATATACTTGGCCAGGTCATAGTTTCACTTTTTTCTTCTGTAGCTTTGGCTATGGCTCATTGTAATGTCTCACTATTCCCCTTCTTCCAGGCATCTGCTACTGGGAGTCGTCTCATCACCCAGTATTCGGTATATCCACAGGCAACAGTTATGAATGTCATTTGCCCAGAAGTTTCTGCTCTCAAGCCTCATTACACACCAGTTTCCCATTTTCATTGGTACTGTGCTCTTGACTATTCCCTTTCACTATGGACTTGTTCAGGTTCATGCTGAACATGCTGAGCTCCCTCTGACCTGGGCCCACTTCCATGAGTAAGTGATTGTATGAGACATAAGTCATATATGAAACAAAAACATTAACCACTGGAAGAAATGGGGATTTCTCTTTCCCTGATTTCTCATTTGGGTCATAAGACCCAAGAATGTGCTCCTGATATTCAACAGGCTTCTCTTCATGTTATTTTGCAAAGTTTAACCTTCAGGTTTTGTGGAGCAACCACAGGTTTTTTTTTCTTGGACATCGTCCAAATCATTGATATATTGCAATGTCCTTCAGACAATCTGAGCTCTCAGACAAACTCTGATTTCCAATGATAACCCCTGTGCCAAGTCTGCAGCACTCGTCCATCTGCAAGATTGTGCATGTAGAGAACTGCCAGTGTTGTGATTTTAAAACTGCTGTGACTCTGATTAGTGGTACTGCAGCTTTTGCCTATCCTTTTCCAGTTTTTTTAAATTCCTGTGGAGACCTTTTTCCACATGAAACCTTATTGCAGACCTCCAGCATCAAGTTTCTGTTTCACAGTCTATATTTTCAGTAGATTCATTAGTTTTTCTTAAAGCATTGGTTTGATTGTTCAGAAAACAAAACCTGCGTGTTTTATGATACTGTGGTTGTGTCACTTTACATAGGTATTTGCCTTCAGAGGGCCTACAGAGAGGGGTTTTCAGCCTACACAAACGTGCTTCTATGCAGTCGTCCAATAAATGCATCAGCATGTAGCTCAACATGGATGACCCTCTGCATAGGCTGAATGCTGATTGCTTGACAAGTGGGCTGGAACAGAAAGGCAGTGACAGCAGAAGAGCATGAAAAGCACAGACTGTTGCTGCAGTGGATACTTTTCATTGTTTTTCACACTTGGCTTCACTTCAGTTCTTTGTGTGTTCTTTCTGTGGTTGTCTGAAGGACCAATGACAACACAAGCAAACGTAGCCCACAGAACGGTTGTACCATATACTTTGGACGCTGTTTCTATCTGGCAACAGATGCTCTCTGCAGTCCACTATAGTCTGCCAACTGCCAATGGAGAACCACACTCAGTTCAGTACTGTGCTTGTCAGATATTAGAAATCATACAACTGTTGAAAGGTTATACAAACTTAAAACATTTGTCATTAGAATAGTTTTGGTGATACACTCTTAAGTAGGTGAGATTAGTCTGTTATATCTTCAGATGTCTTGAAACACATTTTCTTCCCGATCAAACAATAGCAAAACCAATTTTCCATAATTTATTGTTTAAATGCAGGTGATTTATTAACAGCCATTTGCCATTAGCTCTTAGTTCTAAACTTTCCACTGACTTATTTTAACTTTCATGTTCTTGGCTAAATTAAAAGCATACCACTGCAAGACGAGTGATGGAAGTCGCCACTTGTCTTGTCACCGCTTAAGCTAGCAAAGAAGATGGAGCAACTACATCAGGGCAAAGTCTGGAGGTCCTGGTCACATCAGTCCCCGGGTGCTGAAGTTGCCCAGCTGTCTGGCAGATGCTGCAGGATGCCAGACAGCTGGGCAGCACAGGTATGGAAGACATCATGTTTAGTGCCGGTACCAAAGAAAACCACCCCACCAGTTACCTTGATGTCAAAGGTCATGAAGGTCAAGAGACTGGTTCTTGCCAGACTTAACTTACAAGTGAAACATCCTCTCGACCTGCTTCAGTTTGCATCTTGTAGGGATGAACAGCAATGTTATTTACCCTTTGCAGCATACTTACTTTCACCACTGGTGGTACTGGTGCCATTGTGAGAATTATGTTTTGTTTTTGTTTTTTTCCAGTGTCTTTAATACCACCCAATTTGAATGTGTGCTTTCTGTCTGTAGTCTTCTTTTCAGCTTCGGTCAATCAGTGTAGGAACAAATGCATTGCACGTGCATCACACAAACAATGCCCCATAAGACTTCTGCATTTTAAAAGCTCCTACCTTTGAAGCACACAATGATCGCCACTGTGATTATTTAGGATTTCTGAAACGATTATGTAGTGTTTTAATTTCATGTAAACTTATTGACATTTGAACTTGACTTATTGGGCTCTGCTTTGAACATAAGCACAGGTTTTTGACAGTTCCAGTGAAATATACAGTGGCCCTGAGAGGCCAAACGGACTGCAACTTAAGAAAACACCAGTAATAAGCAAAATGCTGCAAAAGCACACTAAACACAACACAACAACGGAAATAGGAATCCACCAGCTCGATAGCTACCCAGGAGCTCGAGGGTCACTGGAGCCGCCGAGAACGGCACAACTCCCAGCACATCATTTTCAGATCACCGCGGTCTTTCACTACTCAGGTTAAACGTAATATATAAGTCACTTAGATAACCTAAAAATGTTATTGTTTGGCTTTTTCAGTGTTTTATTTGTTCGTGAGTAAATCAGTTTGGCTGAGATTAAAATAATTAGATTATTAGATTAAATAGAACTTAATTAATCCATTGGGTGGGTTCCTCCGGGATTTTCACACAGCTGAATAAACGTCAAACAGAAAACTGATTAAACAGAAGTGTGAGAGGGTCGAGAATTTACGCCAGTGTCCTGTTATATTTTAGATAGCAAGGAGCAGACAGCCGAGTTTATTAAACCCCACCGAGACAGCGCTGACGCAAATCTGAAGGCTAGACTGTCCAATTTCACAGCCGTTTACTTCCGGTCTACCCGACCTTCTGAGGAACCCACGTAGACCGCGAAGGCTGGGTCCTCAGGAGGATGCAGCCCATGAATTTGGACACGACCTAGGTGTGTTTTATCATGATTCATATAATACTGATGACGGATTTTTAGGCTAATAGTTAGGCTAACACACTTACCTCCCATCTTTTCTTTCCTCACAAAACCGATAGATCCTCCACTTCTTTTAAGTGTCTCCCAGCGCAATTCTTAGCATATTTTGGTTCCTGCAACTGATCCGTTGGGTTATTGTCTCCCCAGAAACACTTCCCTTGTGCTCTTGGGAATCTGTTTTTTCCTATTTCCGTTGTCATTTTTCCTATTTCCGTTGTGTTTTGTGTGCTTTGGCAGCGTTTTTCTTATTGCTGGTGTTTTCTTAAGTTGCAGTCCGTTTGGCCTCTCAGAGGAACCGTAGAAATACACCATAAGAACTTCAGCAAAATGCTCCACATTAATGCACTTTACACTAATACTTTTGGCAATCTAATCATGCATTCACAATTAATGTAACAGGTGCAGGACCTTGCCAAGGAGCCACCTCTCCCCATCCTTCTAGAAATGTGTGCGTGCATGTTTAATCAGATGGAAAAGCCTGTTGTTCTTTGAAGGATCAAGGGGTTATCTGCAGCACTTACCATAATGCTGCAGCAACGTTTCAGTGGGCCAAGTGAAAAGTTTGAATTCATGCTGCTGGTGTACAGTTAAGAGTATGATCAACAGTCTGCATCACCACCTTAGTTTTTGGTAGTTTTTGTAGGAATGATACCATCATCAGATGGTAATATATGTACTGAAACTGCACCATACTTGGACATAAATAGGCGTTTAATTGTGAAAATGTAAAGCTGATAACAGAGGCATGTGGAGAAACGATGGTGCAACTAAAAGCATCATTTGTTCTTTCATTAAAGTGTTTAGAGCTGCGGCTAGATCATTTTTAAAAAGCCTGTGATCAATTGCTGCCTAATGCAATTTTGTGGCTATAATAATTTCTAATTTTTAATATTGATCGGGGATCAGCTTTGCATTTTAAAACTCTCCTTTGTAGCAAGCAATTGTTTCCCTTCTGCTTCTTTTCTGTTATATTCCTTTGAAAAACACAAAAAATGTGAGATTCTATATCACTAATAACAAGCTAAGATGTTGCCTTTGTAATGTTGATTTAGCAACTTTTTCATGTTCATTGTCATCTCTATTGAGTTTAAACATAGGAGAGTCAAAACTGATATGCTAGTCTGAGAATTTATTATAAGGTATTGCATATTTGGCTAATCTATTTCTTCCTTTAATGGTCCTTTCATTACTGTCTGCAAAGGTTACTGTCTGTCTCGCTTGTCTGCCCAGTTATATTTTTACATCATGACAGATGGGGTGGATAAGTAGGTGGTGGGTGTGGTGTCTCCCCATCGGTAAGAGAGGATTATGTGCTGGGAACTTTGGAGGCAAACACAAGTAGAATAAATATATAGAGAGCATGGAGTGCCATTCTGTATGGACAACAACTGTATGGACTGCCATCCAGTGGGTGTAAAACCTCGAATGGAGATTAAAAGTATTTTTCTAATAGCAGCTGGGGGAGGAAACACAGTTAACGTGTATTAAGTGTGTTTGGGATCTTGCTAGATGAAAAAATAGGACTATTCACTGCACATGAATGTAACCAGCACTGTTGTGAAGCAAACATCTCTTTATGGGGGTAAATATGCTTCACCTGTCTGGTGTTACATTATATTGTAAGTTTATATCCCGTTTTTCATACATAATAAGAATTACCATCCAAACAGTCGCTAAAATTAAATGATCAGGATAGCAAACAAACAGAGATGGATTTTTGTTTCTTTTTATTTACTTTTTTCCCTCTCTCATAACAGTTTTGAGTTTGAGTTAAGTTTTCTTGTTCTTTTTGACGAGGTAGCTTCTGTAGTAGAAGTTACTGAAGAGAATGATGAGGCTGAGAGAATATGCCAAAACAGTGATGTTCATATAGTCAGGGAAGTCACAGTCAGCAAACAGATTGTAGCTGGTATGGATAGTCACTATGAAAAACTGGAGCTGTAAAGAGAAACAATAGCATGATGGTAGACTTCCAGGGCACTGAGTACAAGAAAATTACAAGAGGATGGTCACGTAAGAGATGAAAGCAGTAGGGGATAACAGTTAGGCAATTTTCATACTTGCTATATGAGCTATAAGGCTTGAACACTTTCAGCAAGTTCCTCTGTATATTTGGTGTAGAGTGGTTGGAGAAATATCCACAGTCTTGTATATAGAAAATGGACAAAGCCATGTTGATGTTACCAAGTTATTAGTGAATAATGAATAATGAATTAGTGAATGGTTGTCTTGAAGGGGCTCTTTTACCTTTCTGTTTTCAAACGACAAGAAAGGAGTGAAACAGAGGGGCACTACTTGCTTATAGGGTAGTGACATGCCAGACACATGGGCAAGCTTACTCTTTCACTGGACCATAAGTTACAATTTTATATATAATATTATATTTTATATAAAAAAAAACCTGAGTTAAAATTGAGTTGTCTTCAGTGTGACTGGAAATCAGTGGTTAAGACCATAAACTGTCCCAGAAAAGACAAGCAAGAGTTATTTTCCCACTGACCTTTACAGAAACCAGAGAAGTTTGCCCTCTGCTGGCCATTAAAAAGAATGCTTACTTAAGCCCATCTTTTACATACAGTCTATGGAAATGACTCCAAAGTTATTCTTTAGTTACTCGTAAAAAGGAATAAAATTATATGTAATATTGATAATGTCATTATTAATCTTACACCCAGTGATGCTCACATGGAAACAAAAATAGTAAAGATTAGTTATCTTGCAGTATGTGGTGATTTTTTGGTCGTTTCTCAGTAACATATGTTGATATTTCTTGTGTAACCATATACATATCATTTAGATACTATGCAATATGACTGTTTTTTTCTTTCTCTTTTATAAAAACAGAGTAGGGTTGTCAGCAGAGAGTAACACGGGCAAAAGTACTCATTAAAAAAAGAAAATAAGTCACCATGTGAAGGTGTCCATTGGATTCATAAAGCTAGTCACGAGTGAACTACCTCAGCTTCAGTTAACTAAATTGTAAAGACAAGTGTTAATGATGGCTTGGGGGTCGTTTTGAAGGTCAGTGCAATTCATGTCACAGAATGGCAGTCAGGCACCATACTGACCTATATAAGCTGAAGCCATAAGGGAAAGAAAAAAATACAGGATGCATTGTCTTTTCATTAGACTATAAGTAGAAAACAGATGGTCCAGTAGTTAGCTGAGGAGCATCAGTGCTGCTAATCTGTCTCGTTTTGCCAGCAGTCAGTCAGAACAATGACAAACCAATCAGGAAGCCTACACGTTAAGCTCATCAAAACCAAATTATTAAGCCTCTGAGATCTAAGTCGTCGTTGGTGATGACTAAGCCTATCAGAATAAGGACTTTTTGGTCTTATTTAAGTGTGAGAGAACAAAGAAAATATTTCTAACTGACAAACATCCACCACTTTTTATATTTTTTCCCCATAAAGCCAGTTCTGGCTTTTTCAGGATTATCAACTTTGATGGCTTAGTAGTTGTTGTTATTGTACAAGCTTCTAAAGTACACATAGCAGAATCAGGAAGGTGACTGCCTTTATGCTACAGATAGAAATACAGACTGACGGCTTAATGAATCATAATGAACTATCCAAAAACATAAAAGGGAGCTAAAAATTAAGAGGAGATCATTTTTAAGTTAGAGGATGATCACTGTAAAATGAATGTGAATGAGATGCATACAGACCAGCTGTAGGGTGGTGAGGTAACGTTTCCACCACAAGTATTTGGTCATGCTTGGTCCCACAGCTGCCAGGCCGTAATACATGTACATCACTATATGGACGAGGGAGTTAATCAGACCTATCAGGAAAGCTGTAGACAGACACTCTGAATGAGAACCATATATTATCTTCTTGAATATTTCTGTTTGCTGCTCAAAGACTCTTATTCACAACATTTTGTAAAACTGGACTAGTGGGTTGTACTCACACTGTCCACCAGCCACATATTTAACCCCAGCCCACCAGTTGAAGATCATTGTGGCGTGGTGGTAGACATGGAGGAAGGTCAGTTGACTGTTCTTCTTCCTTAGGATAAAAAATATCTGAATCACAGAATCACACAAAGACAGTTAGGCAGAAGCATCTTGCAGCCATGAAAACACATGCTCGTATAAGCTTGCTTGAAACTCACAGTGTCACAGAGCTCTATAACTTTGGAGAAGTAGAACCACCAGCACACTCTGGCCATCTGTCCAAAATTATAAAAAGTACATTATTAACCTTCGTGCACTGCAGTTCAAACAATTTTAAATATATATATATATATATATACACAGTTCTGTAAAAAATATTGAGCCATGAGCATTCTTTACAGTTCTCTATGAAAATTGGAAATGCAGAGATTTACTGAAATATGCAAACATAAATGGAAACAATTCTGTACAATTCCAATGAGCTGCAAAGTCCAACTTTATGAACACCTTTATTCTTAAACACAGCCTCAACTCTCTTAGGATACTTTCTTATAATGTTTCCTACTTCTCAAAGACAGGACTGTCAAATGCTGTTTATCTGATGTAGACAGCATTTTAGGCCTGCCACCTCTTCTATTATGACATGATGTCAGTAACAAAGGATCCAATTTAAAATTGGCTCTTTGCTAAATTGTCTATTATGTGTAGACAAAACACTGTCTCATCAGTTGGCGTTAAGTGGGTTAAAAAAACAAAAAAACTTTCTTTTGAAAATGGTCAGGTACAAGGACTGGACTGAAAATAAGTGAAAAAGCAGCCAATGTTCAAAGATAAACTTCAGAAAGCCTGGAGAGCTATTGCTCTGCAAAACAGTCTGGCTGCTCAGAAACAAAATCCAAAGAAATGGCTCGACAGTTTTTTCACAGTAGTGTACATGTCAAAATTAATTTAGTGAAAAACATTTACCCTCATGGCCAATGGGCTGTCACTGTAGTCCACTGGCTGGCACAGCAGACTGTATCCTGCCAACCAGGAAGAGGTTGTAAACTGTAAAGAGAAAAGATGCTCTCATCACTGCTTGTTTTTTCTTTCATTTAGCAAAATGACGTTTCATTAAATAGGTAAAAATCCTTTACCAAATATTCCGTGAAGGAATAGGACACATGAACCATGCGGGACTATTTGATCTTTAAATCATGCTGTACACGGTGAAAATGTAGCCACTGATGCGCAGCACAGACTCCCAAACAGAGCCGATGGTAACATGTCTGTTTACACTCCGACAGATGTGGATTGCTTTAGGCGGTGTTTCTGTCCAAAATTACCTATATTAAACTATTTTATAGCTCACATTAGGATTTTACAGATTCACAAACTTTGACAGCCATTTGGACGGTTTATTTTTTTTTATGATCTATTTGCTCTGTGTGTTTTATATGCCAATAACTGTTTTAAGAGAGTTGACATGCAAGTACTAGAATCCACCAACTACAAACTGCTACAAACTGAAACCACTGGGAAGTGAAGTGAGTTACAGTGATTATCTCAGAAGAGTGGAAGGTTCTGTTGGCATTTATGTATAACTGGACCCAGAAGAGATACAGCAGGGATTGAAGGACACCCCCAGTGGTTCTGTGTCCATCCCCCAAAACATCAGAGCTCTTTTGGTCCCATGAGTAACATCTAAACAACATTAAGCAGGTGGTTTTAGTGTCATTGGAAGTTGTATTATCCTATACTGACTTCCTTTTAGCTGCTCTGAATTCCCGCTCCCCGTTGTCTTTTCCGATAGTTCCTTCAAGCAGTATGGTATTTACCTCATAGAACATGTAGGCAGACAGGCAGACCATGGCAAAGTTGTAAACTATCAAGACAGGTCTGAGGTTGACTGGCTGCCTCCTTGCCATTAGCTTTGACCCCACCCATATAATGATCAAGTAACACAGGAAGACACAGCTAATTGGCACAGGAGAATAGACCAGAAGCCAGTTGTCTGTCCTTTTGTCTAAATGACAAGAAGGTGAGAGAAAAGCAGAAAGACCTTTAGAAAAAAATAAACTGCTAATCTCTGAGAAAAAAAATGGGTAAATTAATTTACATGCCTCCTTTTTCCAAAATCCCATGGTAAAATAACTGGACTTTCTGCCACACAGTGAGCGCTTGAAAATCCTGAAACAGAAAAAAACGAGAGAAACTTTGATTTGCAAAGCTGAAGCAAACACTAACGTTTTAAAATGAAATAATATAAGTCTCTCACAAAAAAACAGAAAACATCAAACACCTTTTTTGGTATAATGATCACACCTGCTTATATGGCATTTATAATGTTCTACATTATTGATTTTTCTAATATTGTGTTCATTCTGCAAAGGCCAAACATGATTTGTCACTGCATTAAAGTTTCATTTTGTTGTATTGGACTGGACGAGGTCTGGTTTCAAAACCCTCATCATAAGATGATGACTACACATAAAGTCATTTGCCGGTTTTTTGGTACAAACCACAAAATGTACTCATATAAACTTTTTTATATCAGTACAACTAACTGTTCCCAGCACTTTGCACGCTCATAAATAGTACTCTTCTCAAAAAGTACTTTGCAACAAACAACACCTCGCTGCAAAATTGATTAAACTACCAGGAGATAATCTGGATTACAATTTAAGGATTATGTGCACTAATCCAAACGTATCTCTTTTGATAATGGATCCTCTTGACTAATAATCCTCTTGATGACTGGCTGACTGATGTGGACGACAGGGTGACACGTGTCCTGGTGTGTATTACAGTGCTGCCATCTAGTGTCTGAAGATGAAAGTTGCGTGCACAGCAGGTGTGTTTCTCTTTACTTCACCATCAGACTCCTCTTGTGGTGTTGCGCATGTTTGCCTCAGGCTTGGGTAGAACTTAAGAAATATACAGTCTTTTTACAGATAAACTGGATCACTACTACTCTGAACTGCTATGTCTCAGAAGAGTTGATTCATTAGTTTCACTATTATATATATAAAAAAGGGAAAAAAAATACAAGAAGGGGGAAATCTGTATAAACCTCCTACTGGACTTTGCCATGGGATCAAAGAATGGAAATAAATTAACAACCCTTCTTTTTCCAGGCTAACACATGCTTCATCCACCATCAATGAAGCCAATGCCGAAGAGTCCGAAAGTGCAGTTCTTCTAATGACTTCCAAAGAGTATCAGTCCCATTAGACTACCATGTTAAAATGTCACTCATTAAAATAACAGGTATCCAGCCTGGCAACTATACTGGTATTGAATTTGAGCATGTATGTAGTGTTGGTGCCTTTAATAGTATTTTTACTGGAATTCTAAGCTAAATAATGTGGCTACAGCAAGTTGGTGCTCCAGTTTTCATGTCTTTGTGTTGCACCTATACTGCTGATGGATGCAGCTTGTTAGCCAAGCTTGCTAGCCTTAGCTGATGACTTTGCATGGCACTCTCATGGGAGTGGGGAGTAAGGGATTACTATTGCAAAAACGGTAATGGGTGGGCAGCTGCTTCTCCAACAGCATCACCATCAACACAGGAGCAAGGCACCATGTACATTTCAATTCCTTTAATTTTAAATATGTTTATATTGTCTATCCTGTAAAATAGTCAGATATCTATTCATATTAATGTACAGAATTCACCTGCTGCTGCTACTACTGCACATTCACCCAGTGTATATACTATATGTGTGTATATATATATATATATAATGTTCTTCCTCTACACCCCCCCCCCCCCAATTTTTGCACATGTCGAGGAGCGTGTCAGGCTACATTTCACTGTGTGTTATACTTGTATAACTATGCATGTGACAAATAATAAAGAACCTTGAACCTTGAACCTTAATTAGATTACCTTTACTTTCCCGTAGGAACGCTGCGTTACTGCGTTACTAAAACCGTGATTTTTTGCGAGAATGTCTCATGACAGTGACATAAGTGAGTGCAACGTTTGTGACAACAGCTGTGTGAAGATCAACAATGGATGATATATGGAGTACGGGAGAGAGTATGAGCATGCAGCGTTTAAAGTGTGGAAGTACTGACCTTACTTTGAGTTTGATTCCATAAAAAGTGACAAAACGATTAGTGTCCGTTGTGCGTGGGAAGAAAACGTATTTTTACAGTGAAAAAAACCCCTAAACAGGCACCGAGTGCGCAACGACGTAATGGGAAATTCACAGAGAAACTCGCGGATTCTTCCACTGACCGCTGTAGCACACCTGCACCAGGGTAAACCTCCGCCTACCCTACTCCTGCTTTACAGGTGAAAATAGAGCAAAAGGACCGCTAGTCTTTGACTTTATTTATTTTCTGCTGTGTTTTACTTGCATCTATTTGAAAGACTGAGTGTAAACACAAAAAATATTTTATTTTATGTGCTGGAATGTGCAGAAAATAGGTTTAAATGTTAAACTAATGTCTTCAAGTCAGAGAATGTTGCATATAATTAAATTTTTGCTTGATGCATAAAGTTAAAAGATTAGAACTGATAAAACAAGTTAAAAAAAGAGACTTTTCATTTGATTACATTTTGTATGATGGATTATGCAGAAAAAGTAGAATTGGACTGAAAGATCTATCGCTTTATCACCTCTTCAGGTTGTAAATCCTGCTTTTAAAAAGTAACTAAGTAACTAAGTAAGTACTTTTGAAAATAAGTAATCAGTAAAGTAACAGGATTACTTTTTGGGGGAAGTAATCAGTAATTAGTTACTGATTACTTTTTTCAAGTAACTTGACCAACACTGTTCATCAATAACCAATAATATGCAGCGGTGAGGAGATAAATTTGTTCTTTAACAGTCTGTTAATATTAAATGCACTCTGCTACTTCATGTAAGTTAAAGCACTATTTAGAAGCAGCAGGCTGTGTGGCCAAAGCTAGGCTAAGCAGTTAAGCCTTACCTGTGTCCTCATAAGGATTTACGGAAAACAATCCCTAACAGAGCTGAACAGAACTCCTATGTGCTAAGGTTTAACGTGTAGAGTAGTACTGAAGGGAAAGTTACAAGAAGATACTTTCAAGACCAGAAATATACAGTATTTCAAAATAACAGCATGAGCCTATGCATCTTCATTTATGCAGCAGTTATCATTAAGATAACAGCTTTTAACCACAGCAGCCTCCAACAATGTGAGGAGAATCTACAGTAAACACAGCTGAAAATAACATTCACATTCAAAATAACATTCACTTTACCTTCATTGTGATGGTCTATAGCTGTGATTTCTCTCTTCAGCTCTGTCCTGTCAGAGCATGCGGCATCTCAGTCAAGTCCTAAGCAGGACTGAGTCAATCAGTGTGTGTACTACGGTGTGTAACTGCCAGCTAAATCCTATCTGAAAATGCTACTGCAAGTGTGACTGAAGAAAATTCAAAATCATATGATACAAAATGTCAAATAAATTCAATATACAGCTTGAATTTTCACTTAATAGATAAAATAATAAATCACTCGGTGTCTACATAACTAGCAACAGACCATTGGTTTAAGGGAAAAGAAGAAGTTAAACTAAATTAATTGAATCCATTTAACACTGCCTTGCTACTGCCAGGTTTTTGTAATTACTAAAGTTAAAAAGGACACATACCATAGACGTAAGACAGAAGAGTCAATTTTAATGTTAATTTTTAATAAAAATCACTTGGTCTCTATATCTGCTTTTTTAAACAAAACAATTTATAGTTTCTTTCCACACTCTGAATTCATAAGAAGAAACATGAGTCACACAGCAAACATGCAGTGAATAACAGTGTGGGCTAAGCCTGTAGTGGATAAGGTGGGTCAAACAGAAGCGAATACTATGAATGTCTTCTACATGCAACACAGTGTCTAATAATTACATATGATTAGTATACTCAGTTTTAAATAACCTCCTGTATTCCTTAAATGAAAAGTTGCAGCAAAGAACAATTAGCACACACAAATCACTACAAATATTCATCATGAATCATGCTATTAATGGTAGTAATATCCCCTTTAAACAGTAATCTGACAGAGGTTTGCTCAGCAGCATTGCACACCCTCCCCTGGCTCTGTGTGGGTGACAGTAACTCTTGATCCATCCCATCTCACCACACACATCCATCCACAGTTTTCTGCAAGCAGCTTTTACACTGCGGACTTCATTAATGTGAGGAGATGGTGGAGAATGGTTACTTTATCCACACAGAGATGTGGAGTGTGGAAATGCCAGGAGACAAACCACAGTATAATCACTGCTTAATTAGACAATACAATAAAATAAAAATGCACAAAAAACATTCAGATTCTAATCAAACTACACTAAAGCAAATTACAAATGTTAGTTATCAGTGCTGCTGCCAGATTAATGATCATGTTGGTGCTGCTGATGGGGGGAATGGTGGTGGTGGTGATGAGAAGTAGAATCACCCTGATCCTGCTGATGTAGCGACTGATTCTGGTGACTGGAATGTTGATCGTGGTGGTGTTGATGAGAGGGGGGGTCATCATGATGATGGTCGTGGTGGTGGTGGTGGTGAGTCCCTCCAGAAGCTGTGTCTGCCACTTCTGAACCTTCGTCAACAAGCTGAGCTGTGCCATTCTTTCTGATGTTGTTACCACCGACAGATGAAGTAGAATTATGCTGGAAAAGAGGAATACACAGTCACACACACCATATTCATTATTCTTGAGTTAAAGCTGCATCACACTCACAATTGTCACATTTATTTCGGCCACTTGGCGGCAGCATATTGAAGTAATGGCACAACACTGATGTAGTAAAATGTTATCAACTTGCTATTAGCTATCATTAACATTAGCTAATGTTTCTGATTAATAATCTCTACCTTGTTTTTAGTCAGCCTCATTTCTGTGAAATGCTCTGCTGTTCTTAAAACCCAATTTCTACTTTTTCCTGTTTTTTTTTTCAATCAAACCAGTTTTATTCCCAATATTTAGGGCCAACTCAAGACAACTCAACTAACTACAAGAGGCCAATCTACCAATAAATCCCAGTCAAGTTAATGTGAAGCTGACCAACAATTCCTTGCCAGTTCCTCACTATGAAAAGGAAACATTACAGAACATAAAAATATTGTGTAGTTTATCCATTCCTCCATCCATTCATTCATCCATTCAGGCATCCATTCATCACATCTAGTCAATCATCCATCCTTTCATCCAACCATCCACCCATCTTTCCATCCATTCATCATCTTCCATTCCATCTAGTCATCCACCATCAGTATCATCTATCCATCCTTGATCCATCTATCTATCCTTCCATTCATTCATTCATTCATTCATTCATTCATTCATTCATTCATTCCTCCATTCCTCCATTCATCCAACGATCCATCCATCCGTCCAACCATCCATCCATTCATCCTTCAGTTCATCCATCCATCCATCCATCCATCCATCCATTCATTCATTAAACCATCCATCCATCCATCCATCCATCCATCCATCCATGCATTCATCCATCCATCCATCCATCCATCCATCCATACTTTCATTCATACATCTATCTATCGTTCCATGAATTCATTCATCCATCCATTCATCCAACCATCTACCCATCTTTCCATCCATCCATCCTTCCATTCCTTCATCCATCTATCCTTCCATTCCTTCATCCATCCATCCTTCCATGCATCCATTCATCCCAGATGTCATAGGATAAATGACGGGGTACGCCCGGGTCTGTTGATTAGTTCTGTGAACTATAACATTGGACTTCATTCATTTCGCACACATTTTTCCACTGATCACTCACAGTGCAGTTACAGATATTTTTCTGATAAGTTGCTCTGATTGCAGCCTCTACGAATGGGTGATGCAGAAAACTGTAAGGCATCACTATATGAAAGGTGAGGAGACCACACCTGGAGAAAATGAAGCAGAAAGAGAGGGAGAATTGAAACTCAAATTCATAACGTCCACATGATGCATATAAATATGAAATGTGTGTGGAACTAAAGGAAGAACAACTTTTTCCGTCTGCATGGGGTTTTATACATGTTCTCTCCTCTACTCCTTCATGTACACATCATACCATTATCTACATTACCCTGTTTTAAGTCCTGCTATCTATGTAACCGTTCACATGCATGATTTAAAGCAAAGTTCAAACATTTAAAGTGTTTTGCCCTAAATAAAATCAAAAATATGAGGTAAATGTCATGAGGGCAGGTTCATCTCACCTGTCATAAACCAGGAAGTCATCTTTGTCTCCGTCCAGAGCCTCCCACACGTCATTTTGAAGAGGTTGCTGCTGAAACACGGGGACCCCGGTGGGAGCACTTCTCTTCAGCTCCCAATACATTGCTCTGGAATGAGCGTCACGCTCATTTACTATTATGAAAGACACCTCAGTCATGTTGCTGCGATTCAGCCTATCACGCAGGCCTCCAATTCTACGGATGAACAGATGGAAGACAAGATAGAGAGCTGGGTATAATCTCACATCGCTGTTAATCTGGACAGTTGGAAAAGGTTTTTCTAGAATCACAGGACGTCAAAGCCTCGACTCAAGGAACACGGAGGGCTTGTCTGTCTTCAAGTTTTAAGAGAAAAAAAATAAAAGGATGATAAATCTTTACTACACTAATTGTGCAGCAGAATCATGTTCAGAGGCTTATAAGAGGAATTCTGAGCAACTGTCTCTCCACAAGAACACCTTTTGTACAAAGATCATGTTTGTTTTACATTTTTCTTAATTTTACTCTTCAAAATAAGACAAAAAAATCAGCTCGGATTATATGGTCTAATAATACATAATTCTTCTTATATTGTTAATATTGGTATACTGTAATGTTGTATCCGAGCAATTTCAGTAAACACATGAGAGATTTAAGGTCTGTATAAAGATGGTGTGGATTCCTTTTCTGTTTTTCCTTTAACAACATGCTATCTAGAAGTCTATTTAAAATGACTTTTTTTAAACTAAAATACAAATTTGAGGACTATCGGGAAATAGTGTTTCAGAAAATAACAAGACTATAGAGAAAATTGTATTATTAAGAAGCCAGTAAAAAAATACATACAACTGGTTAATGGGTTTACTCTTCAAAATAAAACTTAAACATAGGAGTTTTAACTATTACAACTTTCTTACTTGGATGCCTGCCTGAGGCAGAACTGTCAGGCAGCCTTCAGCAGCGCCACTACAGCCACGTTTCCCAACAGGTCTCGCATGGGTGCATATCCCTTAATGTCCCACTGGGGGGCAGGTTTGCAGATCCTGGAGGCATCATTGTCCCCCTCCACAATCAGAGTGCTGTGTGAGGCCCACAGCAGGCCTGGCAATGCTGCGAACAGCCACAACATCAAGAGAGAGCCCATTGTCTCTCCCTGGCAGCCTGGACTGTATCTACCTGACAAGAAAGACATTGTGCAATAATTGAAAAAACAAAAACAACAATTTTTTTGCACCTGATGTGAAGAAGTGAAGAGAAAAAATCTTTTCCAAGGCTTTGTGGCACAAAGTCAGGGAAAAGGAGATAGCACATGCAGACTAGGCAGTCTGGGGTTCAATCAGTAGCGCTCAGTCTGATCCAAAAATAATTAAAAGAGCAAAACATCATTGTGTCTGTCTTTACATGCGAAGATAATCTGCAAAAAGAGCCGGGGTAAACAGCGGGCACAGAGGTATTTTGGGGCACATGGAGAACATGCAAGCATCAAAGCAAAGACAGACAGAGACAGACTCAGAGTGTACTGTCTCTCTGTTTCAACGTGATCTGGATCACTTTTGTTAGATAATTAAAGCCTTTTCGGGTCGCCATTTCTTTTCCTCTCCTAATTTAAATGTTTAGATGTATAACAAGTATTAAAGTGTACAAGACAGGAACAGATCTCTGTGGTTAAACTGCATTAGTTGGAATTCCACAAAATACACCCCTACAATAGTTAATATGTTTGACCTTCAGAACAAAAGACTTAAAGCCTTAAAAACAAACACTTTAAGCCCAAAAAGATGATCTTACCTTTTCTCTTTCTCTGTTCTGCGACCCACACATGCAGACAGTAAACCCCTGTTGTTTTTAAAGCCTTTGAGGCTGACTAGCACTTCCCCCAAATCAAACAGAGACAGAGACAGAAGGAGAGGGGGGAGAGAGAGAGAGTGTATGTGTGAGAGAGAGAAACTAAACAAAGGACTTTATTTGAATGCAAGTAAATTTGAGTAAAATCACACTCTTTATTAATTTAATGGACTACCACAAAATTCTGGTTACCTTGTTGACTGAACAAGCAGTTATTGATTAGGTGGTTATAACTATTGAGTGGACCGATATGAAACATGATATTCATGGTTCCTCGATTCCCTGCACATTTTTGGTAATTCGACTTCTAGGCTATAGCACGGACTCATCTAGGCTGTAGCACTATGTGAAGATCATGTGGTTTTGAGAAAAAATGTAAAAATAATATTTGGATAATTTAGATTTAGTTACGATGAGTGAGATTTAGTGCAGACTTTCCTTGAGAATGAAATCTACCCTTGGTGCTACAAGGGTATCCAAAGGTTTTTACTGAGCCCACTCTTACTCTTTAAAACCGAAAACATTACCACCCACCTCTGTTGTACTTTGTGTGTGGTGTTAAATATCAGATGTTAACTCCACATTACACTATAAAAAGCTGGTGAACACAGTAAACATGCAGTTTTTCAGCTGCTCAATCATAGTTACCTACCTATGCGAGCCAAGCTTTAGAGTGTGCAAAGGTGAATGCCACCATGACAAACAAACACAGGGAACCATTTAAGAAAGAGCTCAAAGGCCAAAAATCAGTGATAATCAACATGAAAGACTCAACTTGAAAAAATTTACTAAAAAGAGCTGTTTGATCAATAAATAGGGATGAGCACGAAGACCATGCTTTGTGTGAACTTTGCAAAGTTGATGGTTAATCTTCAAAAATGTAGAAAAATACAAGATCATCTGTTTACACTGACTTAAAGTTTTCTTGCCATTGAAGGTTAACAAATCAAATCAAATCACTTTTTATTGTCACATCACATGTGCAGGCACACTGGCACAGCACATGCGAGTGAAATTCTTGTGTGCGAGCCCCACAAGCAACAGAGATGTGCAAACACAACAACACAAACGAGCAAAATACAAGAATGGCCAACCTGAAACTAATAAATTATATGTACAATATATAATAGTGTATGCATTTCTGGATGTGTATACTAAATATTTTCCTACGTGTGTGTGTGTGTGTGTGTGTGTGTGTGTGTGTGTGTGTATACACATTTTTACAAATTAAATAGTAAAAAAATAAAATAAAATAATAATAATAATAATAATAATAAAATATATAAAATATACAGAGTTGAATATGTGCAAAACAAGTGGCATTTATATACAGTGTACATTTATATACATTTATATACAAGCCAGTTGCAATGTAAATAAATATATTGGCTTTTATGTTACCGATTTGCTCAAAGTCCAACCTGGGTAGCTGTTTGTTTTATGTGGGGAAAAGTAACACACATGACCTGAGATTAAGTTACAACAGTGGGATTTAATGAGACTTGGGTTTAAGTTTTATCACTAGTAAATTAATATGCTTTCATTTTTATTCTAGCATCCAATGTTAACTGTTACTGTGAGCTGCCTGACATGGAGAACGTGTATAGCTGCAGTCAGAAGTTTCCATCCACTCATGAGCATGAATGTCATAGTCATTTGGGGCTTTTAACGACTTCTTTGAACTGTTATACGGATGATCTTACAGTTACAGCATTACCTTAATGACTTTTAGAAAAAAAAGATTCCGGTGCACAAGTTTAAATTTATTGGATTTTCTCTGATCCACACAGGATCAAAATTATACATACAGGCTCAAATAGATACATGCATTCATTTAAATCTTTTAATAAGTATTGCTCAAGGTTCTACAATGTCTTTCGACTTCTTGTTGGGGATCATAATTGAGCACAACTGGGAGTTTCTCTTTGCCGGTGTACAAAGGTAATGTTTACTGTATTGGCCAGAAGGTCTCAGGAACTCAGGTATTATAGTTATGTATTTTATAAATTAGGTTTTATTTTTATTTTAACTTTTCGCTTTTAATTTAATTGAGTTTTTATTAGTTTTTGTAGTCTTTTTTGTTATTATTGTATAAAGGGTATATATCAGAGGCAAGATTTAGGAAAATGAGTATCACAAAAAAACCCACAGACCTCCATCCAATACCTCAATAGTCGAGTTTTACCAGTAACGTACCAAAACTAAGTATTTTCCTGTTTTTTTATTTATATTTTAGCTAGTTTTCCAAATTCACAAAATCATGTTACTTTAATCTTTTTTTGCAAGTTTTTATTTCTGTTTCAGTTAATAAAATTGTTAAGTGTGTTTCCACATCTAGTTTAAGTGAACTATAATAACCTCGCAAACAACTATCAAAAGTAGAAGTTGGTCGACTGCTTTGTTAAGGTCTGATAGTAGACCTAAACTGTCCCCCTCAAATGAGAGGAAACTGGTTAAGAACCACTAATGTTCGCATTTGCTATGAACTGGGAACTGCTGGAACACCGGGGTCACTGTGCACAGAGGAGAGATTTTTACATTGCCATGGGAGTGGATGCCAACCAAGAAAGAAGCCTCTGCTTCAAAATCAGCAACTTGAGCCTCACTCATGAATGAGAAATGGAGGCTTTCTGCAGAAAGGTTTTATGGTAAGACAAGACAAAGGCTGAGCCTGTTGGCCTCAGTGACAAGAGGTATGTTTGGAGGAGTAAAGGAGAGACTTTCAACTTAAGAACATTGTACCAGTGGTGAAGTATGGTGATGGTAGCATCATCCTCTGGGTTTGTTTTACTGCCAGTGGTACTGGTACTTTGCACAAAGTGGACCGAATAATGAGAGAGGACTGCCTCCAAATGGACCCAAATGTATTGGAGTCTCAACATCACAAATTAACAGCTAGACGGTTGAAACATGGACATAATTGGTTGTTCCAACATGACATGATCTCAAACACACAAAGCAGGCCAACATTAAGCTGCCAGAATGGCCTTCCCAAAACACTCAACAGTATCGACAATTTGTGGATTAAAAGTCATGTCCGTACCAATGGAAACAGCTACCAAAGCTGTCTGGTTGAGGTACAACTTGCTAAGGGACATTTAATAAAATATTAGTTGAAGTATGTATATATTCAAGCTTCTGTATAAATTTTGAGGTTGACTTAAACTATCCAGAAAATTTGAACACTTCAAAACAGAGCAAAGGGGAAATTCTCAGAGTGAAATTTACACTGTAGTGCAAAATTAGGTTATTCACCAGTGCAGGATTTACTCTTATTTCCTTTTCCATACATCGTTTTTGGAACCTTCTTGAAAAACAGCGAGGGTCTCAGTTGTGTACATGTGACCAAAATAAGGTACAGAAATTCAGTTTTATTAATGCTTAAACTGGAGAGGTATGATTGAACAATATAGTTTGATACTAAACCCATGTTATGGTTAAAGACATAAATCATGTGCTTTACATCCCACCCAAAAAAACAAAAAACAAACCAAAACAAAAAGATTGAAAATAAATAAGAAAAAAAAAAAATCACAATGTCGAGGGAACACTCTGTAATGAGATGTGTCTATATGAAACTTAAATAAAGTTAAATATTCCAAATGCTAATTTTATTATACATGTAAACAGAGCCAGCAAATATCAGCCAAGCTCAGAGACACTTGACTTTAAAAACACAAGCATCAAACTTGTCAGGGTTTGCGCAAATGACTCCTCTAAACAATTCTCAACTACAATCAGTAACAAGCTACATGGTACACATGCTCTGCACATGTTCAAGCTCACAGTGGGTCAGCATTTTCAGAGGTCCATCCCTGTTTCCTGCTGTTCTGCCGTATCAGTGTCCTTTGCTTTTGGTGCTCGTTGCTCTCAGTTGCTTTTATATCGAGAATTGTTTAACAACTCATGACATATCAGATTTTAATGCACACTATACTCTTAGCCCCACGTCTCAATGTGTATGCTTATCATTGTTAAGGGCTCACTTGATTTTAACCCAATCTTCCCCTATGTTGAACTCATTAGTAAACATCTAGCTCCAAAGCAGGAAATGCAGTCTTCTGGTGGAAAGTCTTGTTTCACTTGTAATAAGCTTCACTGTTTCCCCTACCACCTCTGGTCTCATGATGGTAGTTGGATTTTGCCGAGCACCTATTCTGCATTTTAGTCAAGCTAAAGGAAGCTGAGATTTAAGCTGTTTCAAATAGATTCTCTTAATGCCACGCACCAACACCAAAGCTTATATTTTTATCAATACCTCTTTGGCATCAGGGACCTGAAAAAAAAAAATCTGTATCTGATTCTAGATGGGATAACAGCAGGGTGGGGAGAAAATACTACAAGTAAAACTGTAGGCTAGCCTGAGCATCTCTTATCAGCTGATCACACGCATATAAGCATTTGAGAGTGCAACCAGTTGACATAACAAAAGCAAATTCACGTCAAGTCATTCAAGGAGGAGATACAAAGCACAATAATTCAGCTTTAGTCTTTAGCAATTCACACAAACTGCTAAGAAGACAAAACACCTATCAGTTCTTCCTCATCATTATCTCCAACTTCAGGGGGACTGTCGCAGGTGGCCATGAGCCCCAGGCCTAGCTCTGCCAGCTCCTCGCAGCTCATATCAGTCGTCACCATGATCTTAGTCTCCAAACGGTTACACAGAGTCCTATAGGAGGGTAACGGGTAACCAATCTCTCTCAGGTACTCGTACCCCTTGGTGCCAACTGCACAGCGGATATTCCGGGCTTTCAGGATTGTCTCCGGAGACCAGACAGCACGTCGGGAGCGTTTGGTGAGTGACAGGGCTCGGATCTGATCCTCATACAGAAAATTCTGAAGACCCTTTTCAAGCCGGTCAAGTCGATAAAGACGCTTCTTCATCTCTTCAGCCTGACAGAAACAGGAGTGTATGGTTAGTTTGGGCCATTTTATTGCACATAACACTCATTATTTTGTAACAACTTTCATAATAATTTGCATAACGCAATAAAACCTTACAATGCTCTCCAAAAAAAAAAAAGAAGCCCAACAGACCAGGCTTTGATTTGCAGGGGAAGTCATCAGCTGTCCTACCTCTTTCTGTAGCCTTGCAGTGTGTTGCATCTCCTGCTCCAGCTGTTTCCTAAGCAGCTGGCAATGTGTGCAGGGCTGCTGATCTTCAGATGTTCTGTCCGCATCTTCCTCCTCTAAGCCAGGCAAAGGGGTGCGTCTGGCATAGCCATGATCCCCGAAATTCAGCTCCTTCTCCACTACACCAAAACACAAGGGAAAAAAGTGCAATTAAATTTCTGAGAACTAGAGTAGAAAAACATCCAAACAAGAAGATATCTTCTTAAATATTTCTGCAGACATGGAGCAATAACTGTACATAGAACTTCTGGGTTTTTCTGTTGAGACAAACATTTCTATTTTTTCTGCAAAATGCTCATCTACATTTACGAGCAACCAGACAACACTGCTTATGTGCAATGTGTTGTTGGGCTGTTTTTACTGTATTTTCCAATAGAAATGCTTTCTACAGCAGTTCATGATGTGAAAAGTAAGAGATAACAGACAACTATACAGTAAGTGTCGTGACCTTTCATACACAGCAAGCATTTTGTAGTTCACCAAAAATCCATCCATTGAATTCAATTCTAATCAGAGTAAAAAGGATCCAGAGCAACTTTACACCTTAGATTTCCAGTACCTGGCTCAGGTTTCAAAGGGTGCAGGATGTAGGGAACCGTGAATGCGGGGTAGGGAGGTTCTCCAACATTGAACAGAGTGGGGATAGCATTAGGTTTCAGCTTCTTCCCCCCAGCTGGAGACCTGGCTATTTCCTCAAACTGGCTCTGCTCAAAATGGTCCTTAAAGAAATGAAGCAAGTGCAAAGAAGACATACACTGAATCAAAATAATGAAAAACCAAAAGACATGAATTATAGATATTATGACAAAAGGTTAAAGATTGACAATTAGCTGAACTCAGAAGATAATTATCCGGTGAATAAATATATAAATCCTAATTCTATTTATTCAATTAATCCATGATTCTAGTCTGTTTAGATTTGGTTCTACTTTTTTTCTATTACTATGTTGTAAACTTACTTGACAGAGTCTGGAGTGAGGAGTTGGTTCAAAGTCCCGTCGACAGTTCACCACCCATTTCTTCTTCCGCACAGGGTCTTTGGGGAACCGAAACAGCTGCTTGCCTATGCTGGTTGAATTGGAGCAGTTTGGAGCGGAGCAGCCACCCATTGCACACACAGTCACAACAAACAGCAACAGCACAGCTAAATGTTAAGTTAGCTTGGCTTACAGTACAGCTCAGCTGTGACTTTTAATCATTACTAACTGCGTGCACGCTCTAAAAACGAGAAAATGTTACACTTGCATCAAACGTTAACTTGTGGAAAGCAAAGTCATGCCCTGTAGATTTTTAACAGAAAAAAACCCCACGAAAACAACTTATATCATCTTAACGGGGATAAAATATAGCTGACTTTGTTTGAGCCAAAATGGCGTACTTCCCCACGGTGGTCAAGTATAGTGACGCACTGTTTGTATGCGTCTGTTGGGAATGCCTGATTGAAAATACCACGTACCGCGCAAAAAGCGAAACAGAAGCGGTCAAATGAAAACATAAAGCACACACGCTTGATAACGTTTTACGCTAACTAATTTTAATTTTTGTTTTGCAAGTATTTAGTGGCAAGTGCTCTTTATTTGGAGTCAGGAAACAGTCGAACTGCTGTGAGATATTTTGTCACAGGACCCAAAGAAGCACGTTGAAATGTTTTTGGAAGTTGTTAGCGGTTGATACATTTAAATACTCCCAAAAACAACAGTAGTTAAAGTAAACACTGCGATTTTAAAGACACTGTAACAAGTAAGCGACGAGTAATGTCTCGGAAATCCAGCAGCTGTTAATTAAAACTCTTCCTGAGATAAACTAGCTCATGTTTCAGGTAGTCGTCAGCAACTTTGCAGTTTAAGACAAGCATGGCATCTTCGCTGGTAGTTCCTGTCATTGATGTCCAGAATGAAAACTTTAAAGAGCTTTGGCCTGCTATGGTCGTGGCTATTAAAACGGCGTCCTTCGTTGCACTGGACACGGTAATTACAAGTTCTTACGTGTTGAAAGAATTTGGTTTCTTCCAGGTTTCTCGCCACTTTAGATGCACAGATGGTAATGTGGGAGTTTGCAGAAAATTCACATTCCTGTTTTTTTAGGAGCTGAGCGGTCTTGGGAACAGGAAGTCCTTGCTGGCTGAGTGAGTAAAGGTCTTTCTGAGCTGAAATAGTATTAGTAGGTTGTGCAAGAAGCCTTGGGAAGTAGATGCTTGTATTTTTTCTGGCTCTTGTAATATTTCAGATCCATTGAGGACAGATACAAAGCTATATGTCATGCAGCTCGGTCCCGCTCCATCCTCTCGTTGGGAATCGCCTGCTACAAGAAACTTGATCAAAAGGTGCAAAATGATCCTTTTAGAGTGGCTTAAATGTTGTCATGTACTACACATTAAACCAGTTATTACACCGTACTCATAAGTGTAACATGTTTGTACAGCAGTGCCAGTTAGACTGTTATACACATTTAAATAACGCTATTAGATCTGTATCAAATTACAGAAACTGCCACTGCAGATTTCACAAATGCCACAGGTGATTCATCCTTCCTTCTCTTCCCCCAGCCTGCAGACTCGTACCTGGTGCAGGTGTATAACCTCACCCTTCTATGTTCAGAGGAGTACATCATAGAGCCCCAGTCAGTGCATTTCCTGGTGCAGCACGGATTTGACTTCAACAAGCAGTACGGCCACGGAATCCCGTACTGCAAGGGCAACAATAAGGTAAAGTTTCCTGCTGCTTTGAGTTGTGTCGTCCATTCTGAGTGTTCTGTACCCGCTGTGTTCACTCTGCTGCTTTTCTCTGTTATTTACCACGACTATGTTCTGTCCAGCTCATCACATGTACAGTGACTAACACGCACTTATGCAAAAGCTCTACAAGGATGTAGAGCTTGCTCAGTCAAAAGGTGTACTTACTTTTTCAAATAATATTACATCTGCTGACCTTTTTCTTAAAAAATAAATAAATAAAATAAAAGGTGTCTAACTTATCACGCCAGGGAGGAGTAGTAGGTTTGCCTCTGATGTCAGTTCATTTTCCTCTCTGTTCTTTGTTCTTCGTAAGGGAGGTGCAGATGACCGTGGCGTTCACATCCGAGCACTGTTCACTGAGCTGCTGCGTGCTCGGAAGCCCCTGGTGCTACACAATGGTCTCATTGACATGGCTTTTCTGTACCAGGTGCAAGTTGTTGTCTTGTTTTCACTTTCCTAAGATGTGAAATCTGTTTATGACATTTTCTAAATACCCTTAACATTTATAAAGTATTTATAATAATAGAACTCTTATTTTTACTCTATAAGACTGATGTTTAGCACTGTTGTTTCACATCAAGATGGTCCTGGGTTCACAGCCAGAGCACGTCTGTGTAGTGTACATTTACAATAAAAGGAAAAACTCCAAGGTTAATGCTGCCTGTCTTGGGCCTGGATATGTTTTACAAAACTGATTCAACATTTCTAATGACGTCCTGGTCAAAGAGATGTTTGAGAAGATTGACGAATGTTTGTGTTTTTTTTCTGTTAGAGTTTCTATGCTCACCTGCCCGAGCGCCTGGCCACCTTCACTGCTGACCTGTCAGAGATGTTTCCCGCTGGGATATACGACACCAAATATGTCACAGAATTTGAGCTTCGACTCTCTGCCTCCTATCTTGAGTACGCCTACAAGAAATGGTGAGTAATTTTTATTTATTTATTTATTTTTTGTGTTTTGATTGAATTTTATAGTGGACATTAATTTGCCACTGATATAATTTGCACAACTTGACGCTAATTAAGTTCTCTAAAAGGTAAACAGGACAGTTCCACGTGTGTCCTCTGTGATGTAATGCAGCAGTTACCAGTATGTAAAACCAAAGAACAAAGCCCTTAAACACCTCTTAAAATAATTGATAACTCATTTTTTTTGTAACCTGTTGGCTAAGTCGATGATGAAGGTGCTAAGATTTGGAGTAGAGCAGAAAAGTCTGGTGTCCATAATTATGTCAGTGTACGTTGTCTTTGAAACATTAACCCTGTTTGTCCTTTAAAGCCAAACAAAATCAGCTATCTGTCCCTCTTCTTTCATATCATGTTCTCTTTTTCCCAGTAAGCTGGATAATGGTCGCAGTGTGGACTCCGGAACAAATGGACCTCATGTTCACATAGAGTTCTGTCAGTATGCTGGTCACATGTCCACCTATGTGGACTACAGGGAGTCTCCAGCTGTCGCTTCTGTTGAGGAACAGACTGACATCTGTCAGCGCTTCTCTGTAAGTTTCAACCTTGGATCTTCAGTTGTACAGTTGTGGAAAACTAAAGTGCTCTTTTCTCTCCTGTGTGTGTGTTTTATTTTTTATTTTTTATTTTTGTATGTCTGTTATAATGCAGGAGCCAAATAGATATCATGAAATTGTGTGTGTTTTTACTAATTTACCTAACTTTGTGTTTGTTTGTTTGTCTGCCAGGCATTTGGTTGGTGTCCGAATGGCACAAAGTGTCCGTTATCCCATGACACAGACCGCATCATTTTCCAGGACGAGAAAAATAAGGATGACAAGAGGAAGAAAAGGAAGAGACAGAGAGAGAAGAAGAGAAGTGAAGGAGAGGGCTCCTCCATCTTTGATGGTTCTCCGGAAAATAAAATCCCCAACATGGAAGTGGATCCAGAAGATCCGCCAGGAAACCAGCGAGGGACAGTTGCTGAGATGTGCCCAGATGGTTTGCCAGCAATGGACAGTGATGGAAACACCCCACAGAGTGAAGGAAAGAGCTTGGCGACTGACAGCAAGGGGAACAGTGTGTGTGATGAGAACATAACAACAGCCTCAATTGATGACAGCCGGAACACAAAAAACAACACAAATGATGGAAAAAGTGGCGAAGTGAGTGGGACAGGAGCAGGGAGAGAAAAGACGAATGACCGCTCAGCTGGGATTGAAACCCAGAAGAAGAATGCTGACGCAGGGACACATCGGGCAGGATTTGACGCCTTTATGACAGGATACATCTTCGCCTACTCCTGTACCGTCATCAGGAAGGAAGAAGCTGGAGAAGCAGACAAGGAGCAGGAGGAGGAGGAGCAGTCGTGGCTTCCTACCTGTCTTAACAAGGTCTATCTGAGCGGCAAGGTAGCGCCTCTCAATGTGGTAAAGAGTACCTTCTCCAAGTCGTCCAAGGCCCACATGCAGAAGATGGAGATGGTGTGGGGCAGAAGGTGTTAAATTTTGTCTCTCTTGGTTTGTAAGGAATAAATCCCACAGACTTGGACTTGAATCCAGTGACCATTGGGGATGTTTATTGTTTGAAATATATTTGCTTGTAATTGACCTTCTGTAAATGCCATGGTTCACCCAAATCACGTGGTCTCCATACTTGGTCAAAACCTTTGTCCAGATCAAATGAAACCAGTGTCAATATATTAGTTTTTCCTTCAGCCTCAGCTTAATTTGTGTTATTTCAGTGTTGGCATGCTAAGTCATTGTCAGCATTTAGGCATATGCAGTTAGCATTTAGCCCTAAACACAGCAGCACTAAGCTGTGAGTGGACGGCAGGTTGGCTCCTGACTGTGAATGAGAGGACAGTTCTGGTGTAATCATCATTTTATCCTAATGGGGAAATGTTCCTGGAGGATGGAGGAATTGATACCACTGACCAAACTCTCATAGAGCACCACCTTCTAATGCAATCATTAATCCATTTGTCAAATATTACATTTAAGATCCCTTGAGTATCGAGGAATTATAACAACAATGGTGAATGAGCACCCAGTTTCTTAAAATCAATGCAGCTTTGCGTTTGAAAAAATATCCCATATTATGCTTACAGTTGATTAAAAGATTAAATGTGTTTTTCTGCTCTTAAAATGTGAGTTGGCAATCGTCAGTAATTAAGATAAAAACAATCCATGGGTGTGTGATTTATAATTAAAAGGGAAGTTTGGAGGTACAGGGGAGGAATAGTGGATACAGTGAACAAAGGATTTTGAATATGGAGCTGCCAGGCAGGAGGAACATTGGAAGCTCACAGAGAGGATCTATGCATGCAGGGAAGGAGGACATGCAGAAGGTTGGTATGAGAAGGATAGGGTGATACGGAAGCAAACGTACTGTAGCAATCCTAAAGGAGTTGTCAGAAGAAGAAAATCTGTTGGGTTTCTTAAGTGCTATTAGCTGAGCTACAATAAGACAGGCCCCAAATCATCTAATCAGATTTTTACTACTTTAAATAATTGAAGTTATAACATCCTGTGGGTGATTATCTATGAACAATTTGAAATGTGATAAGTGAACTGATAAATTATGCATTTAGGTTCTACTTAATGATAACATATATGGACTTCGCCATTCAGTTAAACACACATAGAGAGTTAAGTTTGATAAATGAATGAATGATAATGAAATATTGAACAATCAGTAGTTAGGAACTGAA